CAACTCTTCAAACTTCGTAACCTCCTCAATCCCAACTCCACTGACTTCTTGTGAGTTGAGACTGAATAAGCTGCTTAATCTCTTTGACCTTGAGTTTTTTCCCATCTGTAAATTGGGAGCCAAATTCATATAATAGTTTGTGGGAGAATGAATAAATGCATGAAAATGTAGCTAGGGAGAATTTCTGAGATTTTGTGAATAGTAAAATAGTCCAGAGATATAAGTTGTATTATTAGCAGCTGGCGAATCCTCTGTTTTACTCGTAAAATGGACTATGAGCCCAGACCCCAGGGAAACCTATTTTCTGTGAGAACTCTGTTCTTTGCATGAAGTCCTATGTTTTAAGCTTACTTTAAAAACACCTGGACTTGTCTTTTAGCTGAGAGTGGATCAGATCAACCTCTCTTGATTTCCCCATCTGTAAAATAAAATCGGATTTAAATCAAGGATTGTTCTGAGAATTAAAAGGAGCTAATGCATTTGAGATTACCTGCAGGGAATTTAAAGATTGGACTCTTAAAACTGTAAATTTCTTCTCTTTTCTCCTTCTATTCTTATCTCTTAGAAGTTTATTCCAACTTGCAGAAAAAATTCTGGAGTCTAAATTTTGTTTAAATGGATTTGGGTTGTAGCCCTGGAAACTTATTTCTCACTGACATGGCCTTAAAAAAAATCTTCTTGTTCAGAGTTCTGTATTCACCAATTACTTGGGAGAATTTTTTCTGATTAGCTCTTTTATGAGGATATAGAATAAGGGGATTAGAGGAAGAACACTAAACAATTCAATTCAAACCCTCCATAGTGCTTAAAAATAGATTATTTTTCTCTCGTTGGAAATTCTGAGTATTTGAAGCTTATACTGTGCCTGTTACAAGGTGATTAGTTTAAAAAAATTTTTGATGCATGACATGAATTTTTAGCAGTCCTCAAATTCAGCATTTTCAAATTACCAATTCATAAAGTACCTTTTTTGTTCTTTAATTTTACATGATGACTAGAGTTTAAATTTGTAAACAGTACCTGATAAGCAACTTTTACAGGCCCAGCTAGAATATAAACTGCTTTTTGTATCAAGCCCATATGTCAATTAAAGAAGATTAGCAATAGCTTCCACTACATGTATTTATAGAAGTGGTTTCTTTTTTCTTCATGCTGAAATGTGTTGAATGCTTATTAGATGGTAGATAATCTAAGTTTATTTCTCTTCATAACAGCCACTATGTAGATGCAGTTTTCATAATATTTTCTTTACAGTTTTAACCAAAGAAATGATGCTGGGTGAATCTGAGGGGTAGCCAGGACTCCAAACTTTTAAAGGGGAAAGCCCCTTTTGCCTTTTCTAAAAGGATATGGCCATCCTCATGCATTAAAGTATTAATCAAACTCAAAGATTTTAATCGATGGGAAATTCAAAGGTAATAGAGGAGTGACTCCAGATCAAATTCTGAAAATCTCCCATCTGCTCAAACACTTAGCCAAACAACATTGCCCCAGACTGGGATGCTGAGGCCTGAAAATTTGCTAGGAGTCCAAGGGAACTACTTCTTCTTCTATTTTTTTTTAAATTAATTTATTTATTTATACAAACACTGGGTACCGTCAGAAGCATGGGAGGGTGAGAGAATTCACCAGAGCCAGAGCGGGGAACAGAACAGGCAGACCGATGAAGTACACTGCTGAGGGGAGTGGTGGGCTGCCAGAGAGGTCTGTGCATTATGTGGGACCCTCGCCCAGTGGCCGGGGATAGAACCAGCACTGCAGAGGCTGAAGGCAGCTTCATAACCCAGCTCTTAACCGCCACGCCACCGGGGAGGCCCCCCAGGGAACTTCTGATAGAGAAAAAATGCTGTAAGTTGGGCAGGGTTCAGAGAAGGAGAGATACCCAAAATTCATCATGTATCACCCAAGCTGAATAATCCACCAGACAGTCAAGTTGATGCCTGCCACTGTCCTTGAAGACCCCGTGTTTCCTCCATCTCTCTTCAAGTACACACTACCCTTCTCCCTCCTCTTCCTTCCAGCAACTCCATTCAGCATTCCAGTCCATGGTTTGTTGGTAATTGTAGTCCAAGGCATCCTCCAATGTTGGCAACATGGCAGTAGGGGTATGGGGTGATCGTGCCCATTCCCACTGTCATGGTGATGCTCCTCCTCCTTCCTATAATAGAAACAACTTAATAAAGGCTGTGTTAAGGAAATAAAGCTTATGTAAGGCCATTCAGAGAGTAAATTATGTTTATCAGTTAAAGTAGGTGTCTATAATTTTCCCATTTCTAACTTTTTTTTGGTCTAATTCTTCAGTAATCTCCAATATAATACTTCTCACCCCCTAATTATAATCAGAGTATGGAAAACCACACCAAATCCCATTCATTTCCAAAAAGTGTGGCAGTCAAAGATAATACACTTGAATTTCAGGATTTTATACAAGAAATCATGTCTCTTTGGTCTGTGTTATAGCAAAGGGTGGGAGCTATGCCATACATTTCTCTTAATAAGTGTATACAAATCACATCAAAAATGAGTCAACTACCATCCAGGTTCTGAAATCTGAAAGAAAATTTCCAGTGAGAGCCACTGCTTTCTAGCTTAAAGTTTTTCAACTTTGGCTTTTAAAGGGATTAAAGGAGAAGAGATACTAAGTCTTTTATCTATACAGTTGCAATTACTACCTTTTTTTCTTTTTAAAGATTTATTTATGCAGACAAGAACTGGGGTACAGGCCAGAGGTGTGGGGAGTAAGAGGATTCACCAGAGACAGAGTGGGAAGCAGAACAGGCAGATTGACTGAAATACACTGCTGAGGGGAGCTGTGGGCAAGACAGGAGAGGTCTGCTCGCCATGTGGGTATCTTCCTGGTCGACCATTAAACTCATCCTGCAGACACTGCAGATAGCTTCATAGTGCTATGCTTAACCCTTTGTGCCACCAGGGAAGCCCACAATCACTACCTTTCTATGTCAGGTTTAGTGAGGCTTAGTAATAAAGAGGAAAGTTCATCTCTTTTGGTGTGCAGATCATTGAGTTTTAACAATCATGAACAAAAGAAATAATTGTGTAGCAACTGCCACAATTAAGATTTAGAATGTTCCCATTAGTCCCTGAAATTTTCTTTTGCCCTTTCTCCAGTGCTAGCCCTTGAAAATTATTATTCTAATTTCTATACCAAGAATTTAGTCTCTAGCAAAATGTTACATAAACCAAATCATATATTGATAGTATGCTGACATTTATGTTTGGCTTCTTTCATTTAGTAAAATCCTTTTGAAATTTAGGTAAATAGTTACAAGTATCAGTAGTTCTTTCTGTTTTATTCCAAGTTGTATCCCACTCTATTGATGAAAAAATGATCCATTTGCTAGGTGATAGCTGTTTGAGTTGTTTACTTCTTTGATTATGAACAAAATTACTATAACCATAAGACATAGGAGTGGGACTACTGGATAGTGAGGGTGTTTAAGAAACTATCAGTTTTCTAGACTATCATTTTGTTCTCTTATAAGCAATGAATGAAAGTTGCAGTTGGTTCACAACCTTATCAGCACTTGATAGTGTCAGTTTTTGGTTTTGTTTTGTTTAACTATTTGAATAGTTCTGTAACAGTAATTCATTGTGGTTTACATTTGCATTGCCATAATAATGTGGAGCATCATTCCATGTGCTTCTCTGCTTTATATTTTCTTCTTGATGAAAAGATTGTAAAAGATTTCACAAAAAGTTTTCATCAAGAGTGGGTTTTATGTTTGTTGAATAATTTTTGTGCACCTACTGAGGTCAATTTTTTTTTTAAATTTATGTTGGTAGAGGTGAATCTGCTTAATTATTTTCCAGTGTTCAATCCCAATCAATTGTGATATATTATGCTTTTCTATATTGCAATATTTGATTTGCTAATTTTAAAAGGATTTTTACATGTCTTTGTCTTGGAGAGCTATTGGTCTGTAATTATCTTTCTTTGTGAAATCTTGGTTCATTTTTTTTTTTTTTTTTTAGAGGCATGTTTATTTATTTGTTTGCTGGTTTTTTTTTTTTTTTTTTTGTTTATACATGCACTGGGTACAGACAGAAGCACGGGAGGGTGAGAGAATTCACCAGAGCCAGAGCGGGGAGCAGAGCAGGCAGAAGGACCGAAGTACACTGCTGAGGGGAGCAGCGGGCGGCAGGAGAGGTCTGTGCGCCATGTGGGACCCTCCTCCGGTGGCCGGGGAGCAGCCGGGGATCGAACTGGTGCCGCAGAGGCCGCAGGCAGCTTCGCAACCCAGCGCTCAACCGCTGCGCCACGGGGGAGGCCCAAATCTTGGTTCATTTTTAGTATTAGAGTAATGTTAGCCCTATGAAATAGATTAAGAGGTGTTTCAGACTTTATAAAATATTAGAAAAGTTAAGATTGAGCTCAACCAATGGGCTTGTGTTTCCTTCCCTCCTGTGTGTTCTGTTATTTTTACTACTCTGCCATGATCTTGATTATAAGTCAGGAGAGGAGACAGAAGAAGAATTGGGATGTCTTTGCAAAATACTCCAGAATTTGGCAAAATAAACATCTTCAAACATGATAATGTTTATAATGCCAGAAGGAAAAAATAGAATGGAAAGCTTTCAATATTAAAGATGCAAAATTGAATATACTGCCTAGTGAATCTATATTGTTTGCTTTAGCATATATTTAGGGGACATAGAAACTTTCATCATAACCACAGAAAACAAAATATTCACTTAGTAAAAAGTAGGCATAGCTTATTGAATAAGACATGGGGAGTTATTTGAGGAAAAACATGGTGACTGTCTTTTCAAAATTGTTTAGTTTTCTATTATAGTTACTGCAGTGTAGGGAAATTCGATCTAATAGGAATCTTTGGGGAGGGGTTGTCTATGATCAAAATCAACATGTTCTTTGAAATATTATGACATTGCCTTCAAATTTTAAGTAACAATTAAATGTAGTCTTGGAAATTGAGTAAATTTCATAGACATCTAAATGTGTTATATTTAATTCTCTTCAGGAAATGAAGGATGGTGAACATTTCAGCATCTGTAGGAGGAAGTCATGTGTCTGGCCACAGTGACCTCTCATAAGTGAGGATAACTTAGAAGTTGGCTCCAGGTACTGATAAACATAAATCAATATTTGCAAAAAGTTTATATATATATATATATATATATATATATATATATATAATATCACAATTGATTGGGATTGAACACTGGAAAATTATTAAGCAGATTCACCTCTACCAACATAAATTTTAAAAAAATGATCTCAGTAGATATAGAAAAATTATTCAACAAACATAAAACCCACTCTTGATGAAAACTTTTTGCAAATTTGTTTGACAAGCGTAAATCAAACAAAATAGGTGGTCTCGAGTGCTATTCGGGATGGTGCTGTGTAACATAAAGTGGTCAGGGAAGGTTACTCTGATAAGGTGATGTTTGTGCAGAGATTTTAGAACAGGAAAGGAAGAAGTATTATATGTAGTTTGATATCTGGGGAAGCACATTCCAGGCAGGAAGATTAGTAAGTGTGAAGGCTCTGAGACAGCTGCATATTTGGCTTATTTGAGGTGCATAAAAGGACAGCAAGACTGGAGCTAAGAGGAAATGGCAGTAGATAAGGTCACAGAGATACCAGGGGCCAGATCATGTAAGGTCTTGTAGGCCATAGTAAGGATGTAAGGACTTGAATTTTACTCTGAATGAGATTGGAAGACTTTCAAGCAAAGGAGTACATGGACTGAATACATGTTAAAGGACTCAATCTGCTGCAATAAAAGATAGATTAGCAGGCAAGCATGGAAAGAGATAACTTAGCAGGCTATTTCAGTAGTGCAGGCTAGATATATGATCCAGGCCCAGAAAGAAGTGATGAAATTTGTTTGGCACCTGAATTTATTTAAAAAGTTGAGCCAAAAAGAGTCACAGAACTTTTTGCCCTGGGATTAAAAAGGAAGAATGAGTCAATGATAACTCTAAGGTTTTTTGACTGATAAACTATCAGAGAAATTGCTAATTACTGAACTGGGAATGACCTTGGTAGGAACCGATATCTTAGGGGCCATTTGATTTTGAATAAGTTAACACAAATGACTGTTAGATTCAGGCTATTGGATATCTGACTATGGAAAGTAAAGAACAAGTTGGATTAGATATATGAATTTGGGAGTCAGCATCATATTGATGCTCCTGAATAAGAAGTGGAAAATTAAATATAAATCTTGAAGAGCCCAAATAGTCTTTCACTAATTCCTTGGGTCTTGAAATTTCAATTGTGACAGAAAATCCTGGGGAGCACGAGCAAGGTGAATTTGTCATAGATCAGAGCCATAGTCTTTGTTTCTCCTCTGTGAGCTTAGTTTCCTGTGTGGATTAACAGTCACTCCATGACTTTGGACTTCCTTTCAGCCTGCATGCAATGCAGACGCCTCTGGGAGTTGTTGTGAATCTCGGTTTATTAATATTTGCAAAAGTGCTTTCGGGTCCTTTGTTGAAAGGCATTATAGAGAAACAGAGGGTTATTATTAAGGATGACATTTGCTCATTGTGATTAAAAATGACAAAATGAAATTTCAAGTGCAGAAGTCAACACTACAATTTAATGTATAAAGGTGTCTTTGCACATCAACATGCAGCCAAATGAGGTCCATCTGTATTACAGAGATTTTTCTAGTTTGCTTTCAAATGAGGATTGGTTTTCAAGTGGGGAATTGAATGTAAGCAGACATCATCAGAGGCCAAAAATATACCGTTTCATCTAATTGCATCCGTTTGCACAATGACTCCCCCCCCACCCCTCCCCCCTTTAATTTATCACGGGCTGCAAATGGAGCCCAGAGAACTGTGCATTGAGGCCACATCCACATGGTTTTATTTACCATTGCACACAGAATTTTATTCGGCTATAAAATAAATGGATTTCAGCTGAAGCAATTAGAACAGTACCTTCTACGGCCAGGATGCAAATTAGCACATGCCCATGGGTTCTTCTCTGAAAGAAGTCTACATTCTGCAGAGAGGAAGTAGGGTAGGAGCTTGAGAGGAAGGATGGGGCGTTCTTATATTTCTGTTAGCTTTCTCAGAGCAGACTGCTCGTGACTGTCAACTAAACCAGTAGACTGCATTATAAGGACAGGCTGACACACTTGGGCTGAGTGATAGACTCAGCTGACACTATGTCTGAGGGAATACTAAACTTGCTTGTAGGTGGAGAGAGATTGGGGAGAAAAACAGGACTTTATAGAAAATTCATTTGCCCAATTTTGAATCTTTCTCTCTCTGTGTCAACCTGTTGAAAATTTCCAGTGTATTTTTTTTAAAGATTTATTTATTTATGCATACAAGAACTGGGGTACAGGCCAGAGGTACAGGGGGTGAGAGGATTCACCAGAGACAGAGTGGGGAACAGAACAGGCAGACTGACTGACTGAGATATACTGTTGAGGGGAGCAGCGGGTGAGACAGGCGAGATCTGCTGTGCCATGTGGGTTGCTCCTTGGGGGTGGCTTCCTGGCTGGTCAGGGATCAAACTTGTGCTGCAGAGGCTGTGGATAGCTTCATAGTGCTGTGCCTAACCCCTTGCTCCACCAGGGAGGGCCTGTCCAGAGTATTTTGATACACACTTAGCATATGTACAAAAGATTAGAAGGCATGATGGCAGTAGTTTTGAAGTCAATGCATGCAGTGTAATCTCCACGAAAGGGGAGTGTCCTTACCCTACCTAATGAAGGGTGTAGCAGGGTGGGGAGGAGGACCTGAAGTGGAGCAGGCGAGGAGACTTGGAAGAGACTTGGAGGAGGCATGGGGAACAGAGAGACATGTGAAGAAGGCTTGCTTGCTTCTGGGCTTTGGACTTGTACCAGAGAGTGTAGGGGCATGAATGGAGATATGTGAAGCCAAGACATGTGGAGATAGGTAAAAGAAAGGTGGGTGAGAGGCCCATGGGGAAGATAATAATGGTAGCCGTTCCCTTGATTTGTAGTTTGAGTTTGTTCTTTTTACCCAGACTTGCCAGGTCACATCTGCCCCTTTCCATGCTTCTCTGCCAGAAGGTGGCTTAGACTGGTGGTAAGATTTTGTACTGGGTGTTTATCCATGAAAGGATTCATAACTCTGGGTGCTTTATTGCAAAACTATATCCTTTCTTGGGGTGCCCCTCAGACTTCACATTAACAACTGCTTCTTCCAACACCATCATTCAGTGCCCCAGAAACCTTGAAAAATTTCTTCACTATTTCACTCTTGGCTCAATTCAGTTGTATGAACAATGGTTTCAGAGTGCAGCCTTCCTTTCTTGGGTTTGGTGGTGGTTCCCATTCTACAAGAATCAAGAGAGTAACACCTGTCATCACCTCAACTTTGAGGCAAAAAGAAATGACTGTGAAACTGCTCAATGACTTGTAAGGTCACATCAAGAATTAAAAACAAGAGTAGAAGATGAGGTTGGAAAAGAGGTTTCCCAGAAGAGAATGATTGTTGAGGCTCTAAACCCTACTATGCTGTGGGGAGAGCATGGTTCTGCTACTTTGGAGTCAGATTGCTAGTCAGGGGATCCTCAAGGAGTCACTAAGTGAGCATGGACAATTGCTGGTTCAGCCATCGATATCTGAAATAACAAACAGATTGTGGGATGGGATCTGATATTTCCTAACTCTCTAGGGAAGATGTAAGCTTTGGATTAGTTATTTTGAATGGTCAAATGCTGCCACATTAGGGCTTTGATGGAAAAATGATATGATACATCTGTGTTGTCTTCTAATCAGGTCATAACATTTATCAAGCTCTAGAGATACTAGAATAAAATGATTAGAAAAATGTCAATCACAACATTCTTCCCTTCTTTCCCAGAATAATTATTTACTTGACACGATCTCTGCATAGGATTTTTGATGGTCGCAGAACATGGAGTGTGGGTGTAGGGATTCCAATTACAGTGTCAGTCTTCTCTGTAAGATGTCTACAGATTGTTAATGAGATATGTGGCTATGACAAAGGCTGTCACATGCTCATCTTAGTCCATTAAGGCTACTATAAAAAAGTCCTATAAACTTTGTGGTTGATCAACAGCAGATATTTATTTATCATAACTGTTGAGGTGGAAATCCAAGATCAGGGTGCCAGCATGGTCAAGTTCTGGTGAAGGACCAGAAGACTGGGTTGCAAAAGGCTGATTTTCCTCTGTGTCCTCCCAGGGTGGAAGTGATGAGGAACTCTCCGGAATTACTTTTTATAACTACACTAATTCAAATTACCAGGGCTGCAACCTCATCATCTTATCACTTTGAAAATACCTCTACCTCCAAATACCATTACTCTATGTTTGATGATTTCAACATGAAGTTTGAGCCAGTGGTGGGGGGCAGAGACATTCAGTATATTTGAAATTCTTTTGTAAGGACAGATACAGAAAGAACCCTATGGGACTTCAGAAGCAAAAACAATTGTTCTAGATTGGAGATTAGGAGACACTTTGAGTAAGAGATTTTGAAAAGGGGGCAAAATAAAAAAGGCTAGCATTAGGTCATTTCTTTGAATCGAGGAAAATACCTGATGACTCTCTATATAGAGTCCAGTCCAGTCCATCATTGGAGGCAGAATTTTGTCCATTGTTTGTATTTGTTTTGCTTATTGAATTTATAGAATCACCATAGATTGGTGAACAAAGTGCCTGAGAGTTCCAAAGTCTGTGTTTGCATTCTTCATTCCCTGACTTGTGCAAGATTTGGGGAAATGTCTTTATTTACAGGCTAGCAGGACTCTGTGATAGTGTAATTTACTAAGTGTTCATTCATTCATTTATTCATATTTCTTAAAACACATTAATTGAGCACCTCTATAAAATGCACTGAACTAGACACTGGGGATAGTGTGGCAGTGGAGCTGACCTAGTTGCTGCTCCCCTGACACATATAATCTAGAGTTTTGCTGCTCTAAGTAATGGACTGGAAGCATGAGCATCATCTGTAAGCTTTGAGAACTGCAGAATCTCTGACAGCTCTGTCCCTATGACTCAGAATCCACGTTTTAATCCCCAGTTGATTCATACACATATTAAAAACTGAGAAGTTTGATTTGTTGTCCTAAATAAAGTCAAGCAAATAGTTTGCAGAT